TTTCTGAACCTGTTTCAAAGAATCATTCACAATATGTGTACACATTCTACATGTATCTGCAAGAAAAGTGGGCTGTTTTGGGTTGGATGTACCCAAATCCCTCTGGTAGGAGGGTCAAGAGGGCTCAACTAGGGAGGGGGAACCAAAGCAGCTTACAGACTTTCACGCTGGAAAATGGAGAGGCCTTCTTCATCGTTGGATGGAAAAGAAGAGAAAGAGGCCTCTGAAGGATATCAGAGTGAGTATATCTACTCCTATGTGTCAGTGGGGACCGCGATCTCTCACAAGAAGTTTGAGTCTGGTTCCTAAGATGATCCATCAAGTGAGAGCGGGACCAAGAACAGAAGCTTGTTTGGTGCCAGAAATCCCACGCAGCTGAACAGACAGTGCGGTCATGGCGGTCATCAGAATGCAGTGGAGGAATGGTTCCGTTTCCAGAGAAATGAAATACGTCGTTAGTCCTCGCAAAATGTGGAGAATTCCCACAATGCCGTGTGTAACGATGGGCATAACCCATGGGGAACATACATGTGACACGTGGATCGTAACCGAAAAGACGGGGTCATTCATAAAACACGACCAAGCATTGGGATGAGAACAAGGTTGAAATTGATGTGTCTCACCAGAAAAATATCGCTGAAAATGTGACCAAGTGGTTGAAGTATTGTAGCTGAAATGTGATGATGTTGGTTGCTGGTGGTGCCCTTGGCCTCTGTGACTGGGAAAGGTTGGTTGGACTGCTGGCTGACCTTGCATCAAGCACCAGACCTTGCCATCGCACATGTGACCCACCGTCCCAAAACCATGCTGAAGTCGGTATTTGTGATGTTGGACAATTCCTCTCCCTCAGCTTTTTTTACACTTCAAAGTGATCTATGTTAAAACGTAATTCTCTCTGCAGTAAGCTTCTTGTGGATAGTGATACAAGTAGCTGTAAAATTCTAATGAAAATCTGAACAGTGGAAGTTCCACTATTTTAGTTACCTGCTTCGGTCTGCTGTAGGGATTGTGGGTCACATATACATAGACATTGGACTCTGCCACTTGCATGCTCCAAGAGCTACCAAAAGCAAGCAGGATTTCCCGAGCAGAAGTGCTGGCTGTGAATGGTTGATAGCCGGTCTCAAGGGAATTTCCAACCCATGAACCTGACAGAGTAGTCTCAGTCATTACAGAGGAAATGTCATGCTTGGAGCACTAATCATGCTTGAAGGGACCGGATGATTTAGCCAGTGTATGGCTTGAGCTTATGGATCTCTGTCTTGTTTTGGCATCATCCGTCATTAAGTAAAGCAAGATGTGTAATTCTAATAGCTATACCATAGCATATGTACTAGGCTTGGGTGGTATTTAGGTATTACCGAATACCACTTTTTTCTTTAATACCGAACAATACCAACTAACAATCCATGAATATCGGAATACTGGCTAATTCGGTATTCTGGCTAATTTGTTCAGAATGTTCCCACAACCCTCATAAAATGAAAGCAGAAATTATACCCACAACAGTGACTGCATACTTTGTGGTTTCAGTCATCCAGCATCGCATTTGTATTGTCTCTTTTGGTGAGGAGATAAGACATAACATGATACTTCACCACGCAGCCATCAACCCAACTGTTGAAAGGTTTTGTTTTCCTATTGCTGCCATCGAGTTTGCGGTTTTGGAACGGCTTGTAGGCAGTGCTTGTTGTATTGCTCACTGGCACATATCACAGCCCTACAGCTTGGAAAGTAAAAATCAGCGGGTCTTCCGTGTCTGCATTGGACTTTATTTTCTGAAGAATTTTTTATTGGCGCATCAGAAAATGCGAACACTCCTGTTGCTAGCCTTGTGCTCTCTTCGGATCGATTTTGTCCTTTATATAAAACATGTACAAATATTGTGTGAAAATTTATCTAACCGAAGCAAGGAGTGTGTGTTATATACTATAAAATGATCTTAAAAATCTGCATCAGTTTGACATCCACGGCAATCAACGATCATTTTTTATTGTTCCCACATTCGTTCCAACCACACAAAAAGAGAAGCAAAAACCTGATTCCTCACTTGTCACTGCTTGTACTTCAGTTGTCTGGAATAAATTGAGGACAACGTGGTTGATCAAAATGGTCTCTCGGTTATGATTAATCAAATACCTTGTGATGTGTTTAGAATTATAAACTTCACTGTCAAATGACAACATGTTTAATGTGCATGTGAAATTAAAAAAAAGCAAATATATGTGAAAGCATCGATCCAGGGATTTTTAAAAGACTTTCAATCGTCATGTAGGATGACGAAGCTAACAGTAACTACACTGCATGCACATGTAGGCCTGGATGTACCTGCAAGAATGTGAAGGCTCATCAACTAAAGCCCCCATCCATGTAAGTAGTCTTTCCAACACAAATTTTGTCATGAAGAGACATTTTTATTTAATTTTCTGTCTGTCTTTTGATTTTCGGCACTAGCTGCATGACACAAATGATCGATAATCTGAGTTTACTCGCCCACGAAGGCACGACTGCCTGTCTGTGACATGGAGAAGCATGAAGAAGCATGATGTCATGAAGAAATATTGCGATTGGATAGCTGTGTCTTGTAAAATGTACGTCATGAAAACACACAGTGTCATTAGCGGGTACGATAGGTCTTTTTGCAGCAATATGAATAATTCAGTATAGGGCGATTAGTTGGACTCTTGAGATGCGAGAATAATCAAACAAACTTATTTGGGGATATATTGTTATCGGAAATGGGAAGGGAATTATTGTTTTGGCATTTTGTGTAATCAATGTAAAATATCATTGATTTTTTAATTGTGCACTACGCATGTCATGACGACAGTAAACTGGCAAACGATGTCTGTACATAGACATGAGATTAATTTTTGTGAATGAACCTGCAGAAAAATTTGTGATGGCAGGTTTTTTTTTTTTTTAACTAGCAACTATAGAGCTGCATTCGATACAGTGGAATGTACAACCCTTTTTTGGCAGAAACTGTACATTGACTGGTTGCCGCATTTCCATCATGCCTTCGTTGACAACGGTTCGGCCCAGCGGGAATTAGTGTGGTACACTGCACACTTGTTTTCACCACAGTGATTCGCAAATGCTTTGGAGTCACGAAAATCTTTCGCTGTAACAGGAATTTTTAAGATGCTATTTCGCTGTAACAGGTTTTCTACCCATAGAAATGTGCACGTTTTCACTGGGACCACAGATTTGAGTTTGTTATAATCGGAATTTCGTTATAACCGATTTCGTAATAATGAGGTTGACTATCCTTGCAATGCCGGCCACCTGGCAAAGTTTTCTGGAAGCCATCTTACTATCGCACACGCGATAACGTAATGCCTTCTGTAACATAATGTATTATGGTAGAGAAAATAATATACGTGTCACTAAAAAAACTAGGCAGAGTCTCTGTTACACAGCCCTCTGTCGGGGACATATGCAGTGGGTGCACAGGATGTGGCTTGGGTGTCTTTTCCAGTTTTCTTGCACATGTGCGCTGAGATGCAAATGTACAGGATGTACATATGCAAACAAACAGAATTGAGTTGTTTTCTGCAATGGAATTAAGTTGTGCGTGCACAAAAGGAGGAATGCATCCAGATATATCCAAATGGTCAAAACATTCTATCTGATAAATTTGTACAATACACAGATAAACTGCTTCATACCATCATCAAAACTTGATGATTTTTAAATCTGCTTGGCTGCTGATTTAGTTACATGTATGTACATGTCAGGACAGAGATCTATAATCATACCGTACAAGTACACTTGTACTATGTGTGCTATGCGTACTTCATGTATGTGAACTTCTTGTGGTTTTTTTAAACAAAATGTACCATGGATAGCTTTTTATCAGAGGCTGCCAGTTTAATTTAAGACTGCTATTGGTATTACAGAAGCATAGAGCTGAGAATATGTTTGTATGTGTACATGTATGGCATGGTATAGAAGGCGTCTATCATGGCTGGCAATGCTGTTGAGATATTCCATCACCTGTTATTTATTCTAAGTCAATGCTTTCTCAATCTCAATCTATTGATAGTACATGTATCTAACTGTTCTGATAGTAGTGTAAATAAACATCGTGGGAAACTGAATGCCTCTGAGTAGTTTGTAGGATACAATTACAAAGGGGAAAAGAAGGCATCCAGGAGTGCATTTTAGATTCACATTATTATTCGTAAGTCAGATCACAGAAAAAAACAAATGGACACAAATATATATCATTACCAGGTGCAAGTGTAATGATAAGGAATTCATGCAGCATGATTTGATAGTCATATTAATTTAACATGCAGCCTTAACTCATGTTTTCATGGATCTATTAACAATTGTTGACCAATCTGTTATGGGATATATTTAGAACACCCAAGGGACGCATAGCGCCCTGAGGCACAGCTACGGATGCTATACGTTCCCGAGGGTGTTCAAAACATCATATCCCTCGCCAAAGCGATCAGCATTTTTGTCACACCTCCATCTTCAGGAATTTATCAAAAGAAACAAGTTCAGTATTTCAGAAGATGATAGGACTTTAAAACTATGCAATTAACGTAACAGACGTAAACGATATTGTTTGAAAATGCACTGTCCCCTCACTTTTGTTAATTGCGTAAACTTTAACGTGAAATTAGTGCGGGTACCAGTGAGTACATTTATATATAGTCTCGTTAACAGTCCCCGCATTACCTTACGGGGTCAAGTCTGTTATACAAGCACAATCATCGATCAAATTCCCTGGCAGCCTATGCACAAAATGTATCATGAGTACTGGGTACCATGCAAAACTGATTGAAGGACATGTTCATTCTCAAAGCTCTTCTGTTTCGCACGTGTGTGCATGCACGCACCATTGGTAGAATGAAATGTTTCACGGTGAGTGTGATATGCGGATATGTCGCCCTGTCATGTGATCATTCTGGGCCAATAAACAGACAAGATCCAAGATAGAGGTATGACAATGCACTTTATTTCAGTGTACAATAAAATCTCACCTGGAGATGCAGCTACCACTCTGCCAATATCCCAGGCTTTTTCCCCTTCATCTGTCACCATCTGTATCACCCTGTCTACGTCATCTCCTGGAACCACTACTACTCCTCCTATTCCACAATTGAAGGTTCGTGCCATCTCTTCTTCACCAATCCTTCCACAGGAAGATATCCACCCAAACACTGGTGGCACACTCCATTTATTGGCATCCAGTTGGACAGCAAGGGTTTTAGGCAAAATACGAGGTATGTTGTCCAACAGTCCACCACCAGTGATATGGGCAAATGCTTTGATTTTGCCAGACTGAATGGCTGGAAGTAGGGACTTGGAATAGATTTTAGTTGGAGTAAGAAGGGCCTCACCTATTTCAAAAGATGCAAAGAGTAAAGAGAATGATTTGATGAAAGACAAAGTTTCAGTTTTTTGCCAAGTGAATTCCACCATCCTATATAAAAAATTTTCTCATTTATCATTACGCAATGATGTTTGCAACTGTGAGAACAGTTTAATGAGGTATCAGAAGGAACGGAACACTTCATCTGTCACCAAATGAAATTTTCGTTTCTTCTAAAAAAATGTGAAACAATCTCTTTTTTTTCAGTACGTGAAAAAATCCAGAAAAAAATCCCTGAATCATCTGAATACATCCTAGTAGAATTCCCACCCAAACAAATCCCTGCATCTGTGCGAGTTCGGAAAGTTCATATAACCCTGAATTAAAATATAAAAGGCTCAATTCTGCTTTGTGGCTTCACTGTGTATTGGGAAGAATAATGGAATGACAGGCTATCAATGGCCTACTAATTAAATGACAGGGATTTGATAAGGTGTTGTATCATTAAGTATGAAGTACAGTTATGACGTATTCATGAAGTACGTGAACATTCAAACATGGTTAACACAAGCTAAAAGGGTCCATCCAAAAGGTTTGTATTATCATTCACCAATCACCTCGTGTATTGGGAAGAATAATGGAATGACAGGCTATCAATGGCTACTAATTAAATGACAGGGATTTGATAAGGTGTTGTATCATTAAGTATGAAGTACAGTTATGACGTATTCATGAAGTACGTGATCATTCAAACATGGTTAACACAAGCTAAAAGGGTCTATCCAAAAGGTTTGTATTATCATTCACCAATCACCTCTTACTGCACACGCTGATGTTTGTCCAATTCATGGGACACAAGGTTTATGTAAAAGGAGTATTACAGATCCATTAGTAGGCCCCTATTGGCCTTTACCATCATGTTGAAATTCAATAATTGTTTTCATCCATTAAATTTCCAATAAATAAAACAAAGATGTTGCCAAATGCCAATACAAATAAAACTAAAGAGCAAGGGAACAAAAAGCCACCAGACTGAACCCAATGGCTGTGGGTACATGTACAGAATGGCTAGACCTGCAGCATGAGAGCATGCTGCTCGGAGACAGAAACATTTCTGGTACCCATTTTGTACCTAAGTCTCTATACACAAGCATAATTCATTTTAGTTGGGAACAGTTCACACATGTAAGGACAGGAAAGGGTGTCGTAATTTCCAAGGTAATTTTTGTTTCAGTTTAAATTGGTGGGGCAGGGATTTTAAATGAAACAACTATTTTCTCTAACTTTTACTACAAGATGAGGACTTGTAATTTTTTTCTGTTTAATTTTACTGAGAGACTGATGATTTTTCCTACTGAAGGAAGGGGAGTTTAGTGTGAGAAATATTATTTGGGGAATGGGGATGGTTTATTTTATACTTCACTGACAGAAAATATTTCTTTTCTGAAAACGTGGTGGCAAGGAAACAGTAGCACAATTTGTTCGTGGATGCCTGGTCTTTAAGAGAAATCAGTGATTCTCCTGTGCAAGTCACTCATGCTGCTGTTCTGCGAAAACTTCACTAAGTCAGTAAGTGCACTGAAGATTTCATCGTTCATAGCTGCTGGGATTGTTTGTACCATTGTTTTCTTGCATTCATTCAACCTTGGGTACCATTTCTGATCTACAAAGCCAGGTATATCCATTGTTCGATTCAAATAAAAGCCCCTCTGTCAGGTTAACCCCATCATCCTTTGATGACATAATACTGCAACACCTACTGTCCATCAATTATAAACCCCCTCTTGCGACACATGAGTTGTGTTACGTGATTATTTACTGACTCGGTCCTTCTAAATTTACTGGGATTATAAAAGCAACTGAGGTGTTTTCAAATTGCATTTGTTGTAAAGATACTGTTAATGTTTTTCGACATATCTGGGTAAATGACTTGCTCATTGCATCTTCCGTAGCTTCGAGATGTGCAAGTGGTCAGAAAATTTAGCTTCGAGTTTGTGTCTCCTTCAACAATGCAACACTGAATATTTGTCGAATAAAGAACACTTCATTGTGCAGTGAAGTGACTGCAGTCACCACAGTAACTGCATGACCACTTGCACAGTCGAAAACACAGTCATGGTTCATCACATGTACATGTACAGTTGTACACCAGTCAAAAACCGTCCACTCACCGTCACTGCACATAGTAAATACTTTGCAAATCAAACTTGTTTTAACTACCCTTGCATTTTAGGCATGAGAGTTATTGTGATTGGAAAAATGAGAGGTTAAAATTTTTTTGAAATTGCAGATTTTGTTCAAGAAAACAGGCTTCGCCACAGAGCTCGAGAAGGAGCAGCCATAATGCACGGTGATGCTCAGTTAGAAACATACCACTTTCACAAGGCTGATAGTAAGAGTGATATATTCACGAGGTTAACTCCTCTTTCAGAAAGAAACCTTAATTTCAAACAACCAAATTCTCTTTTTGCCAATTAATTATGGCCATATAACTATTTTCTTATTTAATAATGTTTCTTCTGGCCAGTCACTGTGACTGCTGAGGGACTAATCTCGTCTTGGAACTTCCTTGCAGTTCATACTCGCCCCAACAGTTGAGAGGGTGTCACTGACAATTGGCAAAACTCAGTGCAACCTTGAAATTAATGCCAGCTTACTGATGAATCATGAAATCTCAACAAGGTAAAGAAATGCATACCGGCTGGGATGTTGCCCAGGTTAACAAGGTCCCAAAAAAATACGAATCGTAACTTGTCTCTAGCATCCTCGAATATTCGCACCATGCTTGACAGAGAAAACACAGAAAGACCTGAAAGGAGTGCTATTATTGCACTTTGAGCTTACAAGATACAACATTGATATTGCTGCAGTAAGTGAGGTTAGATTCCATGATAGAGGAAGCATAGAAGAAGCAGACTATACTATTTTTTGGTGCGGCAAAGCTGCTGATGACCATAGTGAGCCAGGTGTTGCCTTTGCTGTAAAGAATAGCATAGCCTCAGGACTGAAAGAACCAAAACTAATCCACGACAGGCTTAGACTACCTTTGTCCAACAGATACTGTACCTTCATTGTCACTTATATGCACCTACCATAACCAACAATCCTGAGTCCATCAACAGCTTCCATGACCAACTTAGCCAGATTTTGAAGTCTATTGTCACTATGCACTGAGCATCAACTGCTCATAACAAATACATATTTAAATGACAAACCAGCTCATTCTTATTCTCAGACTGACATAAATCACAGTTTAGTTCAAAATTCTCAAACGTCATCAAAATTCTGTCAAATATGACGCTCCCAACAAACATTTTGAACTCATTGTATTTTTGATGCATCCAAAGATGTTGGTATAGTTGGAGAGATTGAAAACAGGGAATGAAGAGAGCCGAATCTTCATAATTGTTTTCCATCAATGTACAGTTTTCTTCATGGGCAATTTCTTTAAAGGTCTTTAAATTACATCTGTTGAAAAATACACTGAATTTTCTTTGATGTTGATAGAGACATTTTGTTTGTTCAAGGTATCTGGTACAAATGTGTTTACTTAAAACTTTAACTGAATCTAACTTCCTTTGATTTGCTCTGACAGCCAACCAAATGTCCACACAATGTGCACAGTCTGGCTAATTATCTCTAAATGATAATTTTTATCAGTCTTAAGATGCAAATTTGTCTTTTAAATGACATGTGGAGTTGACTTTTGGTTCAGCTTTTGAAGAATATGCCTATACAAATAATCAATATTTATGAGATCACTGGTAAGAATGATTTCATGAGGTGACATTCAATTCTATATAAAAGGGTAGAGCTCAGAGATTTGAAGCACTGTCCATAAACAGAACTTGAATTAATGATCCAGCAATAATAGCCGATCCCCTCCATAATTATTTTGTTAATGTTAGTCCAAACCTTGCATGAAATATATACGAGTGTGATACCTCTTTTATAGACAATCTTCCTAACCCAAATCCTTAAGGCGTGTTCCCATTGGACTTTTTCTTCCGTGGGCACACGGAAACTTACCGTGATACTCCTTTGTGTCATTCCTACAGCGCATTCCCATGTGGAATTTTTTTACCGTAATAGAAGGTTTATTTGCTGTGTTAGGCCAAATAAGACCAGCTGATTACACTGCCTGCACTGTACGAATCATGACGAAATCAGCAAAATAGGACAAAAAATGACAAAATCAGACGAATTCAGGCAAATCTGCAACAAAGACGATGAACCTGTACAGGAAAAGCCCCTGCACATTTTATCCAGGCAAGCTCCACTGTGTGTGTGGTTTGCCACTGTACTGTACGCACACAGCTGGAGACTGGGAACCATACAACCATTTTCGCGTGCCTGATATTGATCTCTGTGTAGCAGTAGTCTGGTTCATAGGTTCAGTGTAGTCATGGTTAATCTACATTGCATTGCAACTGTTCACATTGGACTTTTTTGCGCCCCTGCTAACTTACTGTGGCTGCACGGAAATCTTCTGTGACTCTTTTCGGCCTGTTAGTTTTACATTGCAATCGCGGTACTTTGACAGGGATGGTAGTTTACAGTGGGTTCCCATTGGATTTAATTTGTAATTCTACAGGAAAGTCACAGGAAAGTCGCAGTAAGTTAACCAGAAAAATCAAAGACACTGTTAACGACTTTTCCATTTAAGTGAGTAGTGGGGTTGAAAATATCAGTGTCAGCATTATCAAGAAGGTAATTAATTCTATCCTTGATCCTCTTACGTACATTGTTAATTTATCAGTATCAATTGGAGCTTTCCCATCGTATTTGAAAATAGCTAAAGTTATTCCAATTCATGAAAATACTGATATTCCTCCTCCACATTAAGTGTGGGCCAAGTCTACTAGAGCATACCTACCCAACCAGTCACTACATATGCAAATTTCCATGGGCCTATTTGTTATTCGCTGAAAAGATTTGATAATCCCTGGTCCACCCTGACCCCCCACAATACAATGCGGCCTCGCCGCCACGATCATCCTTTTCAAAGGCGACTCAAAAGGGTCAAAG